AGCGCCAGGCGCCCCCCAACCACCAGACAGCCAAAGCGGCTCTCAGCTGCGCCCGCGAAGGCCTCCAGGCACTCCTGGGCATGGGGACCAGAGACGGGTCAGTGGGGTGGCCCCTCCCCCCTGCATCCAGCTCACCCTGTTCCCCACCCTGCAGGCCTGGCTCCCCAGCATTCCCCCAGGCTGGGGTTGTCTCCTGGGGCTGGACTGCGCTGTGGGGCACAGGGACACACTCCACACACTGGGTCAGGTCCCCGCTCTGCTCCAGGGGCACCAGGAAGCTGTCAATCAGCTTGTAGCAGGCCTGGGGGCAGGGAAGGGGCTGGTGAGGCCGGGAGCCCTGTGGGGCAGCCCCATGACCTCCCATCTAGCCCGAGGTAGGGGCAGGATGTGCCGCCGTGGGCTGGGGCTGATACCTCACGCCTCCCCCCACACACACACACCCTGTGGGGCCCGGGCTGGGGGGACAGCCCAGCCCCTCTTTCCCCAGAGCCTGGGATTGAGAAGGACCCAGTCACACACCCCTTGGAGTGGGGGGAGGGTCCCAGTTTTCCCCCTCCCTCCCTTCAAGGCCCAAGTTTTGGGGGACTCCAGTCCCTCCACGTACCCTCAGGTCCTTTTTGAGGCGTTCAATGTTGCGGACGTTCACCAGCTCCTCCAAGCCCAGGATCAGCACCTGCAACAAGTTCGTCGCCCCTAAGGCCCCCTCACAGGGCTGGGTGGCCAGCCGGGGAGACGGAGCATCGGGGGCAATGCCTGGTCTTGGGGCAGCGTGTTCCAGGGCCCGCTGGGCAAACCCAGGATCTGCTGGGGGTTAACTGTCCTTCCCCCAGGCCAGCCCCAGTGGGGTGGGGTGACCATGCCTGGGGCTCTGGCTACCCTGCGTCTCTCAGTGGTCCTGTTGTGGCCAGACCAAGCTGCAGTCAGTGTGTCTTGGCTGCAAACTGCCACCTCCCTTGTCTCCTGCTGTCCACTCGCTGAGGACTGGCCTGAGCAGCACGGGCCGGTACAGGCCCCAGGGGACCTGCTGGTCACCCCCTGCCAGAGTTCCCTCGAGGGCTTGGGGGGCATCCAGGGGAGATTCAGCTGCCAGCCAGCCGAGAAGCAGAGCGCCCCTAGCCAGCAGCCCGTGTTTCTCCTGGTGGTGCGTGTTGGCACATGCTTCGGTGCACGGAATAATATTTATTCCACTCATGGATGGAAAGAAGTCGAGGGAACGCGGCTCTCTCCGCTCTGCCAACTGGCCCGCGATTCCTCCCCTTTATTTCCCTCCTTTCCGCAGTTACTGACCCGTGAGGGCCCGTATCCCGTGGCAGCCCACGGAGCTTAAAAGCGGAGAGGGGCCTGGTCAGAGATGTTCTCAAAGCCGGGGGCCCCGGATCCCCCTTGGGCACGGCCGCCACCCCTCTGAGCAGGTCAGCTCTATTCGCCTCTTGGACCACGTGGCTCAGCCAGCAGGGCCTCTCCCGGGGGGGCGGTTCCAGGGCTAGTGACCCCGGGCAGCAGCCTTGGGAAGTTTGTGCTCTGCGTCCCCTCGGGCAGCACTGGGGCTCTGGGACAGCTCTCTGACATGTCCCTCGGACTGGCCGGGGGCAGGGCCTCACCATGGCGCTGAAAGCGTTGTCCAGCAGGCGCCCCAGGGCAAAGTCACTGGCTCCTTCCTCCGATGACAGGACGATGAGGGTGATGCTGGAAAAGTCAGGGTGATGATGAGGTTCATGGGGCAGCTGCTCCCCATTCCATCCCCCGATAATCCCCAGCCCCCCGAGGTAGTCCCTCGGACTGGCCGGGGGCAGGGCCTCACCATGGCGCTGAAAGCGTTGTCCAGCAGGCGCCCCAGGGCAAAGTCACTGGCTCCTTCCTCCGATGACAGGACGATGAGGGTGATGCTGGAAAAGTCAGGGTGATGATGAGGTTCATGGGGCAGCTGCTCCCCATTCCATCCCCCGATAATCCCCAGCCCCCCGAGGTAGCATCTCCTGTTACCAGACATCTGCAGCCCTCAGCTCCCCGCCTGCCCCCTCCCCGCGGCTGCCCCCGGACCTGTTGTGGAAGACCCAGCTAATCTCTTTCCTCCCTATAACCCCCCATTCCAGGCTTAGCGGGCAGATGCCCCATGGTGTGGGGAGGGTCAGGGGCCTCACCTGGTGCTTGGAGGATG